TTTAGGTTCCTCGACGTTGCTCCCTTGCTCGTAATATCCTCCGGATATCCACACGAAGTCGCAGCGGTGCGGTTTTCCCGAAGTAGCGTCTCCGTTTTTTCACCGTAATCGTTCGTTTCATTAAATTTATAACGGTATTCGTTCTTCTCGAATAATTTCCGGATGTTTTACACCAGGAAGGTGTAAAATCGCGGCAACCCTTTTTCAGAGTAATTATTTTCATCGAAAACGGCGTGTAAATTGCTCGGAAGAGTACGTTAATAAATTGCTGGCCTCGTTATTGTTTTTACGAACGATGTTCCCTTCGCTGAAATTCTGCCCGGGCGAAAACAAAACCTTGATACTAATTAAAGTATTACATTCGGTTTAATGATTCGTTTTTAAAAGCATCGTTATGTCGTTGCATACAAAATTGGGAAAACGCGTGAACGTTATTTGAAATTGAATGCTAACGCATGTCAACAACTTTCGTAAATTATTTGCATACGCGTTTAATGCACGCACGTTGTATTCGCATTCGTGATATCGTGTTTTAATTTTAATCTTGATGCAACACGTGAACCTTTCGTTCTTTAACGCACGTAGTTAGTTAAACAATAGGTTATTGAGAAATAACGTGTAAAATGTTGCCCTTTAAAAGAGAGAAACATTTCCCATTCACGCAATGTATTTATAAATCAATGGTACTTCGAAATTCAGCATTTTTTAATTGGCCCTGTTAACGTCGAGGGAACGTTGCGTTTGCTGCGTCGATCGCATTATTTTATAAACACGAAATACGTAAAACGTCACGTACGTTACAATTGGCTGGAGCAATTATCTCGTTTCATTCGTGTGCGAGCGGGACAGGGTGTATGTGGGGTCGGGGTGTTAACGAACCGGACAATGAGTAGCTACGGTTCGTTAGATACTCAACAACCAAATAATTAGCAGGTGCATTTGAATTCCCATGTGTCTGGATTTTGGACACAGCGTCACACCTTCTGTCCCAGACGGTATTTCAATGTCAGATTTCATTTTGCGTAACGATCCACACGTTCTTTGTCTTATCAAAGCGCGACATTCTCTTTGGGCCTTGTAACTTTACGCAATATTGGTATGTGTAACGACCAAACAACAAGCGTTTCTTCACGGTGGTCAAGATACGATTATTCGCGAATGTAAGGTATCGACAGCCACGTAATATTCAAGAACCAACAATAGAACAAAGCAGTCAAGAACTGAGCTAGAATAAATCCTTGGGCAGATGAATCCTGTTAGAGTTCCATAAAACGAATTGTCCCTGGAAAATCAAGGGGGGCAACAAGATCTTAAAGAAAACAAGTGTATAAAAATTTCATTTTTCAAAATTGTCTGAAACCAAAATCATGAAATAATAAGCACAATTTTGTATCGTTAAAATGGCGTAGAATTACACGAATACCCTCTGATATTAATTGCATTCTCGTTTTTCGTCGCTCGAATTTGAACAATTTCGTTGATTTATTTTTCTAATTTAAAAATATCAAAAAGTCCAAACAGTTTAGCGAACGTCGATCGATATCGCGTCGGTGGATTCGCAATTCGTCATATCGGTCGCTGCTACTAATGAAACTCTCCTGTACGCTCGTCACAGCTAAAATTAGTTAATCCGATTTGCCGCGAAATTCCCGTGGAAAGACAAATAAAAATCTGACTGGGCCACTGGTGAAATACTTGTTTCGCTCCGGGGTACCAACATCGAGAGAATTGGAAAGCGTTGTTTATGAAACTATCTCCGTCCGCGAGTGTGTACTACGAACTTCCGGTAAATTTTCCACCACCTTGCATCGCGCTAGTCGAACGACGAATTACTCACGCCGCGTCGTTTATTTTACGACTTAACGTGCGCTCAAACGTATAAGTTTCAATTTTATCGCGAAAGCACGGGATAACGACATTTATCTTCGGTTGTTTCGATGATACGTTTTGGACACCTTACACGTGTTCTCACAAAATTAGTTTTGCTCAGCAGAATGTTTGTTTCGACGAAATCTACACCCACGTTTAAAGTTTATTTTGGAGGTTTATTAAACGTCTCACTTTCAAATTTTGTACGTATATTTCTTTATGTTCTGCAAGTTAGGAATGTAAATAAGATTACTCCAGAGATGACACAAACAGATAATACACTGATATATTAATTTCCGTTAAAATAATTCAATTTCTTCTCTTGGACTTGGTCGACGAGAGAGAAAGTAACGGAGAGTATGATAGATACTGGGTTATAAAAGAGTCTATTTCTAAAGGCAGATTAAAGTCACGCTTCGTTTATTCAAATATTTTGATTTAAACTAAAATTATGGAGGCTTAGGAATTTATTTTCATTGCATCCTCGTATTATATTGCTAATTGAATTGTTAAAGCTATTGTTACCATTACAGTTGCTAATTAAGAATATGAAGATGTGAGACGGGTCACACACTATATGCAGATGTTTAAAACGACGACGGAAAAATTAAATGCAATATGCAAATGAATTCTCGCTACGTTCCCAATGTTGAAATGTTTTCTCAAGGGTTTGTGTTCAAAGGAAGTTCGGAACTTCGTTTCCTCGTGGGTTATAAAGAGGTTAAAATAGAGCTATTAAACAAAACGCTGACGCGTTGATAATATGACGTACTTCCGGAGGCGAAATGTTCAAGGACGAGGAAGAACCAGGTGTAGGTTTATGCAAGACAAACTTTTCACCGCATAATATCAGTCTTAAAGTGCACTTTATTATAATAACAACCGCGGAACAAAGTTGAGTCCTTCGGGATAGATCCGAAAGACGAATCTCGATATTTATTACAAATTTTTGGCGTATTATAAAAGTATAAAATATAATTTACTTCTCGCATTTTTAATAACATATAAACATATGTGGCGTCGCCTCCCATGCTCGCCACCAGAGGGGTCGCGCTCTCACAAGCGCTCGACCGACCCCTCGGTTGCTATATATACACTCCTCGAACGACTTCCCAATATCCCAGTCGTCTAAGGCAGGGCCTGCTAGAAAGCCTTACTGATGAGTCCACTGGCAGGCCCGGACGAAACGCGCCCCCTCCTTTCCTTTTCTGTCCTCCTACGAATTCTCACGAGATCCCCTACCCGCAGCGAAGCAGCGCCACGATTGGTGACCCGGACGGTGAATTGGACAACTAGGAAGCAGCTCGAGAATTTTCCAGGAAACCGCAGACCCGCACGCAGCGTAGGACGAAGGAGGCAGCGCCGAACAACCGTGTCTAATCGTACTAGCAAATAGCTCTTTCGTAATCCCTCTCCTAAGGTGGCCTTTCGTTCACTCGATCGCTCGGTCCTGACCAAATCTACCTGACGAGGCCGTCGTCTCCAGGAGGACACAGATTGGCAGGATTCGAAGCAGCAGCAATAGCACGCATAGTGGGGCCACAGGTAGGACAGCAGCATATACGCTCGATGACTTCAGGAGCGCAAGGCACGAGGACGACTCGCCGCGCCAGACGATCAAGAGAACGACCACGCAGCAGCCAGAAATCACGCAATATCCTACGGCAATAGAATCGAAGTTCTAGCCAGGATCAGAGAAAAATCTCCAGTGATCGTCAATCGAGATAAGAGGCGCTATACGAAGACACGACGACGACGACAAGTCCCAGAGGAACGGAACAACTGTAGATAATGTACATAGTATTCGATAAGTCCTGTAAATAGTAGACTTAATCCGGTATCGTTAGCACTGGCCGGGGGGTAATGTGGCGTCGCCTCCCATGCTCGCCACCAGAGGGGTCGCGCTCTCACAAGCGCTCGACCGACCCCTCGGTTGCTATATATACACTCCTCGAACGACTTCCCAATATCCCAGTCGTCTAAGGCAGGGCCTGCTAGAAAGCCTTACTGATGAGTCCACTGGCAGGCCCGGACGAAACGCGCCCCCTCCTTTCCTTTTCTGTCCTTCTACGAATTCTCACGAGATCCCCTACCCGCAGCGCCACACATATATACATGATGTCCCTCAAAGAATCGTAATTCATTCTCTATCCAAGTTATAATCTAGAAATTAAATGTATGCATTCTTGGTGCATTTTCAAAATCAATTTGATCGAAAGCGGAGCGTTACTCCAAAAAATTATATTCGTCAATTTCGATTATCTTCTTCATGTAAAATTATTCCAGCTCGATAATTCTACGCTTTGAGGGACACCCTGTAGAGAGATTACGATTACTTTCTCTTTAATAATGCAATTTGTCGTTTAGCAAGGCACCTTATAATACATTTACTTTGGAATACCTAGACTTACTATCAAAGTGTCAATAATAAATAGTTAAATATATCATAGCCATACGAATACAACGCGTGACAAAAGTCAGTTAACCACTACTACTATAGTAATTATAGTCGTGTACGCTCTACTGACTTCTACTTTGTACTCTTGCAGTAAACTGGCGGAGGAAAATAAGTTTCAGTTTCATCTCGATTTCCTATTATTTTCTCATAGCCTATCAATTACAGGTGTCGTAACCACACTGTAAATGTTTTGCAACGTTAGTTTCGAAATACGAGAAACATACAAATGTTCGCCCCACGCTACATTTTAAAAACTCCCATATAAGTGGAAGATATTCCTGATGCTTAACGTCTCAGAAATTAACAATTAATATTCCATTTCCAACACTTACTAGTTAGTTATATCAATAACAATATATATATAATAGTAAATAACTATAATAATAACATATTTTGTTCGTTACTAGCTATGGGTTGTTTCTAACAAAATATAAAAATATATAGGAACTGTTTCCCTTTATCATTCATAACGTACACTGACTCCCTGATAATTGATCGAATAAACACAAACAGGTTCGATTATCCTTATACAGTTACAATACTGTAGTTTATTCATCTTTGGTACCTGAAAAGTAAGTGACAAATAATTAGATTTTGTTTGGTTAAAGCACAGAATCTGGAGTAAAAATCATAACACGTAGTTACCATTTTTCGCCAATAGCGAATAGATTTCTTAAAATATTTTGTACTTTTCAAAGTCCATCGGAGCTAAATAATCTCGCTGCAGTTGAGCCGCCATTGGTGCAGTTATTCTACTATCGACATTAATGTGTAACTCTTCTTTTTCCATACTGATCCTAAACGTCGGCACATTTTCTTTGTTCTTCCTAGCCGAGCGATTCGAATTTTTCGATTGAGTTTCTTTCATCGAAACAATTTCTTTCGTCTGCTCACCGACGAAATGCATTTGGCTGCATATATTATTATTTTGGTCCTGCATTGGCAACTGGAATTCACCCATCAAGCTTGTCCTAAATCTTTTTAAAATAAGTTTCTTCGTCGGCAATTCGACCGAGAAGGACGAGGAATTGGAAACTTTCTTGCGAATGTTTTCCACGCCATTTTCAGACGTCGTCTTTTCCATGCTTTCCTTGGTCGAGAAAGCAATCTTTACAGTCTGCTTCGCCTTCTTCTTCGATATGTTGTCAGTTTTGTTTGCCAACTTCGATGGGCAGGATCTCTTCAGGTAGGATATCCGTCGGTGATTGCTGAGTAAATTTATCAACGGTATATTCTCTATGTCGATGCTGGTGTAAGTAATCGAATACTTTAGGTTTACATTTGACTTCACTTCTATATCTTTGCTAGCAGGCATTATTCTCGCTAAGTTTGTCTTCGATCGCAAATTGTACGGATTTTCATTCAGTTTATCGATAGCTTTGGTGAAATTCTGATTGATCGATGCCACCGTTTCGGTGGTTATCTTGTATTTGGTTCGCGACGTGACCGCGTGCATTCTTTTCTCCGGATGCAATTGCTCGCAATGGATATAATAATCTCCTTTAGTGAAAAACATCATCTCTGCAAAAGCGAACAGGATACTTTCAAATTCATTTTTCGTGCAAACGTACAGTGAGGGTAAAAAGTATTCGTACACTAGTCAATTTGAACAAAAACTTTGCAGAACTTTGTTTATTACAAAAGTATGTTAACAAAAACATGCATACATATTCATAGAAATCTCTGGAACAAATGTCATTAACAACAAATTATTTATTTATATTTATTATGAAAATATTAACAAATTTCCAGAAATTGACCTAAAATATACGCGTAATAAGTATTCGTACAGTCTTTGATTCGTAACATTCCACATAGAACGATTACAAGATAATCCATGATATGTAAACATACTTAGCATCAGTATGTCTGGAGACGCTGTCGGTATAGGTAGTATCCTGAATTCAAACATTATCAACGAAATTATCAGTAAAATGGGACAAAAACGCAAGGAAACCTCTGAAGAAGAAAGAAAAATTGTTATAAATTTACATAATAAGTGTAAAACACTGAGTGAAATTTCTAAAGTTTTAAATAGACCGAGGTCCACGATTCAAGGAATCATTGACAGATATGGCGATCGAAAAACTGTAAAAAATAATCCAAGAAACGGACGTAAACAAATAATAAATGAGTATACCGGCCGATGGGTAATTCGAAAAATAAAGCAAAATCCAAAGATAAGTGCGGTGAAAATCACAGCTGAACTTAAAAATGATCTGGACATTAATGTATGCAGTAGCACAGTGCGTAATTTTTTACGGGATAAGGGATATCACGGCAGAGTAGCTCGTAAGAAATATTTCGTAAATGAAATTAATAGAGAGAAACGATTGCAATTCGCGAAAGAGTACGTTAATGTTCCTATGGAGCACTGGAACCGTATTATATTTACTGATGAGAGTAAATTTAACATATTTGGGTCAGATGGACGATGTACAGTATGGCGGAAAAAGAATACCGAGTACGAAAAAAGAAATTTGAAGCCGACCATAAAGCATGGAGGAGGATCAGTCACAGTTTGGCAGTTAGGCTCTATGAGTGCGAGCGGGGTTGGATCCCTCCATTTTATCGATGGTATCATGGATCACAAAATGTACACTGATATTCTAAAAGAGCATCTTCAGGTTAGTGCAAATAAAATGCAGTTACAGGGCAATTATATATTTTTACAAGATAATGATCCAAAGCATAATGCTTATAATACACGTCAGTGGATCCTATATAATGTGCCGCAGCAATTAAAAATCCCTCCACAGTCTCCAGACGTAAATGTGATAAAGCACTTATGGAGTCATCTTGAAGAAAAAATTCGAGACCATCACATTTCTTCGAAACAAGATTTAAAAAATGCACTTTTAGAGGAATGGAACAAAATTTCTAGTACTATAACCAAAAATTTAGTAAATTCAATGCCGCAAAGGCTTAAAGCGATTATAGAATCTAAAGGAAATCCCACTAGATACTAAAATAGCAAGTAGACTGATTTTTGTTACGTTTATGTACTAAAATTTACAGTTTTTGTTGTAAAATTAGAAGTGTACGAATACTTATTACACGTATATTTCACGCCAATTTCTGGAAATTTGTTAATATTTTCATAATAAATATAAATAAATAATTTGTTGTTAATGACAGTTGTTCCCGAGATTTCTAAGAATATGTATGCATGTTTTTGTTAACATACTTTTGTAATAAACAAAGTTCTGCAAAGTTTTTGTTCAAATTGACTAGTGTACGAATACTTTTTACACTCACTGTAATTGTATATTCTACGTATGCCATTGGTATTATAACAATCTGTGCCAATATTTTTGTCAAGTATCGTGTATATTAACATTGGTGTTAGATTAAAAGATTGTTATTTTTTAATTATAGCCGTATTATTATTTATTTTCGACGGCGAATTCGATACTGCTCATCCAAGTGTGGCACGACGGCTTTGTCTTTTGAAACAGAAAACAGCCACAATGCGAGTCACGCGGCACGCGGCATAGATCAAACGTATTGTTTTACATCATGGCATGCGTCTCATTTAACCTTATTTAGCATTTGAATAATTGTCGTTACAAACTGACATGAACCGAATGTTCTTGGTTGTTTATTAGGGGTATACAGTACAGTGTTACATAAAAAAATAGGTACACATTAACATTTCCATTCTTGAAATTAGGAATAATTTGTTGTTATTAATAATTTTAATTTTTTTATGTTTTCTGAATCAACGATAATTAATACAATACAAATTAATTACCGTGTTAACTACATTATTTTACAATTCCATTCAACTAACAAGTCCACTTAATTTCGTCTCGTTACCAGTATGAATTGAAACCACTTACGCAAACGAAGTTCATTCCATTCGACCGATTTCACAACCTGTGCAATTTTGAAGCGAAAATGCACAGGAGCTGGTGAAATTTGATTTCAGGATCAAATAATAACGCGAAATGATATTTTGTATTAATAGATTTTCCTAATATTGTTCGCAATGCATGACATGGTAATATGTATTTAACATTTGGAGGATATAAATGATAAATTGTATAGCCGAGCATCATACAACATATAATTTTCAAATAACTAATGGAGGCATAAAATACAGTAACTGTAGACTCGAAGAGAATTTCAGATACTCGAATAATATCTGCGCACACCTGTTAATCGTAAATAAACGTTTGGTTATCATCGCATGGGAGGTCGGTGATAATTGGTTCATTATATGTAGATGGTGAAATGAAATCAAAAGATGAGTTTGATACTTAATCATCAGGTTATTATAGCAGAGTATTTCAGACGAAAGCGTGGCGCGCAACGGGAACAGAAAAGCAACAAAGAAAACGTGGCTACGCCAATTCTCGACTCTATGGATCGTTTAGTTTGTTTAGACCTAACACAAATAATCGTATCAGTCTCCGAAATAAGAGACGAAGCCTTCGGTATTGGTTAAAGCCCTTCACAGTCTTTTCTAACTCTGCTCGAGTTTAGAATTTGTTTAAATTCGTGAATACAGTTTATGTCTGTTACGAAATGGAGGATAAATCAAAGACGATGTTTAAGAAGAAACGAATAATATTTTTCTCCGTTACAGAAGATAATTTTTAAACGATATAACGAAGCTCACGAACATTCTGACTAAAAACTGTGACAAAAATATCGTTGGAAAATGTTGGAAAAATTGAAATAAAACTCTGCCGACGCGTATAATATTAATGAAACGTAAGCTGTGCAAATATGCAAATAAAAGAATTCGAGCAGTCCGTTATTGCGTTCTACGTTTTGCATTAATATTTAAATAATGTTTACTTACTGCAACATCTGTACACGTGCAAATCCAAATGGATCCTCTCCTCGTGGCGCTTTACGTTGTATTGTCGATTACTTGTATAATGGCAAGAGGAGCAGGTGTAAATAGTCTTCGGTTTTTTAGGTAGAGTTTTCTGCGATTTATGAACGTCGTCATATTTATTTCTGCAACTGCGTAATAATTACTGTCGACGCGCAGTACGAATGGGTCAAAATTTCGAGGACTTCATAAACACGCTTCACGCGTCAGTTAAGTTCCAAATCAACAAATATTTTTGCAGCCACAGGAGCAATCTCCATTAAACGCTTCCCACGATACACAAACATTTGCTCACTTTGGAAATTTATTCTACAGCCAATTTGTACGAAATTTTTAAATCGGGTCTCTCAAAAGACCGATCGAAGCAAAACGATTAAAATTGAATATTTAGCAAATATGGACCTATTTCATTTCCAAGATAGAAATTTAGTAATCACGTATGCTTCAAAAAATTTCCATCAAGCGTATGACAAACTTTTTCTCGCTCGATAATATTTACAAAATTTAAAACAGCACAAAATTTATTTTTCGTTTTTGCAGGCACGGGTGCAATTTCCATTAAATATTTGAATTTTACGAAATTACGCAATCGAATACATCAACTTCTCGCGATTTGAAAATTTGCTCACTTTGCAAACCTATGCAGCAGCGAGTTTTAAATGAAATTTTAAAATCTGTTCTGTGCCAAACGATAAAATCAGTTATTTTGCAAATACCAATTGATTGCCCTTTTCGTACAGAAATGTATAGTAGTTTCGAACAATTTTTAGTAAATGGTTACAATTTTCTTATTGCCAGAACAAAGCCATTCTTTTAACCATTCTTTATCCTGCTGTAATTTTAAAGATATATAGATAAACAGAAAAACGTTTGTATTTTCACTTTGAAGAAATAAATTGTCTCACAATAAATTTGCACACTTTCAATAAAAACAGGTTGCACGACTTCCTTTGTTTAGTACAGGTTGCTGGACATGAGCAACAATAAAAATTAAAATGATAAAGATTCAAGGAACTTGTCACGAAATGGTCACAATTTTCACATTTTGCCAAAGGAATTAATTATTTCGTGGACATAGAATTTATCGTACATGAGCAGCGACAGAAATTGAATTGTCACGATTTTTGTCCATTGTAGAAGAATAAATAGGAACGTAATGATGGTTCTTACGAGGTTTTCACGTCCGTGCTCGTGTTTTTTGATTTCATATTGCAAACTAAAAATTCGCCAAGGCGACCTGGTCACCGAGATCCCAAACGACGTCTCACGCACGCGACCGATGACGAACTGAGGCCGCACGTTCAAAGGGAAGGATCACGTTTGACACCAACGAAACCGAGCGCACGTGTATGGTTAGAAGGGGCTTTCACCCATCCCCTGGCGTTCTTCGCGGCTTGTTTGACTCACAAATATACCACTTATAACGAGTTCGTTATTTCTAATGCCGTTATAAAATGAAAATCAAAACGCCCCTTTTCCGACAACACGATATTATTCACAATCTCTATAGTTTTTTCCTTTTATAGCGCGAAGTCTTTTGTTTTGGAAAGGCTTACTGTCTTATTTAGAACGGATACTTTTTAGTAAATATAATTATTACACAAGTGATTTTAAAAGTCGTACAATGTATGTTTTAGGAGAAACTCCATTGTGAAAAAATCCTCCATTTTTGAGTTAGTCGTTTCTTCTTGATAATCCTGTAGTTGAGATTTGTTTTATTCGTAGCATTCACAGGTTTGCTTAAGGGAAGAGTATAACATCGAATCATCGTGTCGATTTATATGTTTTACCATGTTGAAGTAATGTTTATTTTAAAAATTCTACGTTCGAATATTTTTCTAATTTTTTTACAGAAAATGTTCCATTTGTATAAGCATTAAACGTTTGATTCTATAGTGCTCGAATATTTTCGTACCCCAATGCATATAATTGGAATGGACACAGACTCGAAATTGCTTTCAACCATGGTTACTATGTATTGGAATCGTCGTGATTGGACGTGATGTTTATAGATTCGGAATACTCCAAAACTTTTCCATGTCGAATGATTTCATTTCATTTATTTTGATATATTGCGTTCAATTACGTAAAAGTTATATCTTGTTGGTATTGCTGACAACTTATTTTTGGGCACAGAACGATACGTATTTTATCATCTAGATTTTACAGGCTAGTTCACCAGAAATGGAACGTCATATATTTTTTGTCATTAAAATGAGAAAGTACAAAAGAAATTCGAAATAAAAATTAAATAATTTCATAGGAAATTTTCAGCGTTAATTTGTTATGACTCTATTTGGTTTGGAGTTTGTACGAGTTGCCATTGGAGAATTGTTTAATTTAACAATGATCATATCTGTATTATAACTTATAGATTGTCATTGAAATCGCAACTACAGTGAGTCGTATAACAATCTCACTTATTCCGGACTGAGCAGCAACATTTAGAGGAAAATAAATTCAAAGTTGATCGTCCTTATCTCTTCTCCGAATGAGGCAAGCACGTATGTATTTACAAACAGGATCGTGATAAGACAGCTACATAAAGAGGCACGTGCCTCTGAACGCCGTATTGCATGGACAGGTGTTTCTAAAGTTAAAATCAAAATTCAGTTCACTAATTCAACACTTTGTAGTTCGTATAATTCGTGTAAATACTTTGAACATATTGCAAAAACTGGATTTCTAAAATATTTCTAAAATATTTAATTCTATGTCGGATGTAATGAAAATTAATTTTTGTTTACTAGAAGATCGTAGACGCGTCTTTAACTCCTTAAAAGTAATAATTAAACTTTTACTCTTTTATCAAAAATACGTAAGAAAGGTAGGAAATTTGTGTGTACGAAAAAATTTGAATCTTTTATTTAAGGTGTTCTTTCTTGTTTTGCATTTGAAATAATTTATGGTCAGACCTTAATAGCAGTAATTATTTATTCACGCTGATCACATTTCCGATAATACCAAATTTTCGATACGTCCGTAATGCACATTCCCGAAACACTTTCAATGTCGTACGGTGAGGCGACGCGACGCCATGCATTTTAAGCGGCACCTATCTGCCAAGAAGTTGCTGAAAACGAATTTCGATAGGACAACGCGACACTCGAATAATAATCAGCGTTAATTGCAAACGTGCGTAATGGTCTCCTGGTTGCATAATGCGCCTGCGAGCATTCCGCCGGCGTGTTTCTTGCGAGTCGTAAATGGATCCAGTTTATTTTTATTGTTCTTCAAACGATACAATAAAAGTGTCCCCAAGTATACCGATTCGAAAGCTTACTTCCCACCAAAACTTTCATTCGAACCAGATCTGTTTCTAATCGAGAACCAATTCCATTAAAAAAGTATATTTTTTGCCGTTACGAGCAATATTGAACGCGTTTGAAACATTTTCAATTCGGAAAAGTTTGACCAATTTTTTACGCATTTTTTGAGCGATGGTTGTTACAGCAACCACAGATTATTAAAAAATGTACATGTAAAAATGCATTTATAAAATTTGACACCTTTAGTTGTACATGAAATCTATACTTTATACACACGTAGTAATTGACGTATCATTTTATATTTGCATCGAGACGGAACAAAGATTATTTTTCAGTAAAGAAGAATGATATAGGAAAAATTAATCCCATCTTAATCAAATATTCGTACCACAAATATTCCTTTTATTTAAGAAATTAATTCAACTCTGAATAAACCGTGTTAATGAAAATCATGTAACCATGTAACTTATACAAGGCCAGCTGTAAAGTTTTGGAGTGTTTTGTCTACAAGATGGGCTCGTTAAACTATGATTAATGTGTTTCTTCGATATGAGCAGCACAGTCTAGTTGTAACATTAAAAAGTGTTGAACGATTGGTCGCGTCAATGGACAATGCACAGTTTACGTGTAATATTTCTTTAAAAGGAGGGTCAAGTATACAAGGTAGATTTCTATGAACAAAGCAAAAAGGCTTCCATCTTCTCTGTGTGCCGAGGCACGCATTTAACCCCGTAAGTTTCGCGACTTAGCAGCAACGCGGCGTCTATAAACCAGCTGCAAGTAGAACAAGACCGAGTCGCCGATGTAAGGTGTAAGTTGTACCTGGACAAGTACGTATCGTGCGTTGTACCCGTCCCGCTCGTAAAAAGCATGTTGCTCGATCTCGAGAGAAATAGTCCTGGGGAAGCGATCTCTGCAACCGGCCACTGAACCCACGACCTCGGGAGTCAAATACACCTCGAAGACGCGACTCGAGTCTCCAAGACGTATCCTACTCGTAAAAACTGGACCCTGAAGCAGCCTTGTCGGGTACAGCCATCCATGGCAGCTCGGAATCATGGATCTCGTGAAATTTCAACGACTGCACCGAGCTTGCAATTGACGCTAAATTTCATTGGCGCTCGTCTCTGCCTTTCCACACTGATTTTCCCTGCATGTCTATCTTGCAAACGATAGCTGTTCGTGAATATTACATTGAGAAATCTGGCATTTACAGAGGCTGTTGGTTGTAACCGGCGTGTCTCTCTCGATTGTCTCTCTTTCTTCCACTTAAAGTTAACGCGTTGACTGCTGGTTTTTGTTCAAATTGTAGTGTGAAGTATAGAAATATCATTAAATATTTTACATTATAAAAATACTATGAAAAATTAACGGACGTGACATCTGAAGCGTTCATTAAACGATGTGAATTCACAGTGTTTGAAATTGCGTTTATTATTTGTATCTTAGAATAAACTTTGTTTTGGTATGTGCATGGTTTACATTAATATGGCACGGTTTACTCGTGGCAGCTTTTGCTGGGTTCAGAGTTTCTCGATAGCAATTTCATAGACTACCGTTAGGTTACAGAACGTGATAGTTCATCTGTAATTTCGTTTTGATGAGACCGGCTGTTTTAACTTTCCGATTGCAGCGATAGGTTGTTGCGTTTCTTGTTTTCTTTTTATGCCTGTGATCGTATTCGGTGTATTATTAAGTTGGAAACACATCGTGATAGTTCGAACGATTCAAGACAGATTTGGATCTTGGTGGAATGTAAAATAGAATCCTGATTTTGTCAAGTAACACGTAAAGATTAAAGTCGAAAAACATTTTAAGGAATGATATGTTGCTGTTTAATTCTTTTCTGCCATATTTTACACAGTAGAGTACTTGGAACAGGTCAGGTGAACTTGCGACTCGTAGGAAAATGTAATGGTACTTTCATGACCGTATTTTAGAATTAAAATTTTCTCATATCTCTTAGGAATATATCCATGGTTCAGAATCTACCATAGCTGTTTCGGGCTCTTGGGATTATGCCACAAAACCTTCTACCGCTTTTCCAACGAATCTGCGCACAAAATTCATACAAAATGTATGAAATATGATACATTAAATATTGATGACGTCGTGTTGAGGTTCAGGTTTCAAGATTTTTCTTACCTGTTCGTAAATAATTCATATGGAGCAAGGGTTGCAGTTACGAGTATAAATGTTCATTTTAGAAACAAATTTAGGATTGTTTATTTTCGTGATTCGAGCTATATACATTCGTATCAATGTTCCGTCGATACGAGTGCCTCGAAATGTTGACACTCTCTATTTGTTCCGGAAACGAATAACCAGTTTCATGTTTGATTTCGTGTTTGTAGACTATTAGAAATTGGCAAATCGGGATTTATGAGGTGTACACAGTGGATTTAAATGGACGACTATGTTTAATCCATTTTTCACCGAAATTATGATTTAACCCCTTGCACTACTCTCAAATTCGGAAGAAGCCGTGTCTAACCCGAATGATCGGAATGAGTCCTAAATATCGGAACTTGAAACACGATATGTCGATCGACGGAATATCGATATTTACGAGTTCGACTTGTGATATTCATGTTTTGACAAAATGTCCGTGGTGGACGGAGTGACGTTAAAAAATGAAGTCTTCGTAGGTTATTTCAACAGGGGGTCCTGAAGTCAGAGGGAATATTCATTCGCGTACGCGAATCGTTTCTAGTCGTTTTCCCAGTCGACGTAGCAGAGGGACGGAAGCGGGCTCACCGCGGGAAAGAATTATTATGCGAAAAGTTCGTGCTCCTCGTTTCTTCCCTGATGGACGATTAAAACTTCCACCGTCGAATTTACAAATTCCTTCGGGGCCCTCGCTGGCGGGGGCATTAGTTCGCCTCGCCTAGCGAACTTAACCGAGCCCTACCATTGCCAACCTCGAATTAGAATTTAAATCTGCGGAACGGTTCCCTCGTAATGGCTCGATTTCTTTCGTCACGGCAACGCGGATGGTTAACCGCCCCGGGACACTCCACGGCCCGTCTTCTTTTGCGTTAGCGCGTACGTGCTGGCAAATTGCGAATTTAGATCCACTCCATAATTGGACCTGGCATCGGCGCTAATTCCGCGGTAGGTCGCGGCGTTAAGAAAATTTCGGTGGCAACGGTTCGGTAAACTCCCCGTGTCAACATGGAAATATTTAAGCTGCTTACCGTTCAACTGGTTCGGACAGGAGTAATTGGTTTATGGGAGAATTTATTAATAACAGCGAATATGTCGCGGGGGAGAGTTTCTGGTCGAGGAAACAAGGCCATGCATTATACAATCCCCCTCATTTTGAACACACGACTGGCAGGAGAAAACTGTTACGACATTTCGCAAATATTGTATAAAATGTGTCTCTAATATTCGTAATCACGATCATAAAATATGAGATATCTTGTAAAATAATGTTGAATTAGAGAGGTAGATTTACAAAAAAGCTATCTGTTAGTAAATAAAATTTTAGGCGGTATTTTCCAAAAAGAGTGTGTAATAATTCCGGTTATTATTTTGACGATAGCTGTCTAAGCAACGCTTGAGAAAATCATCCTTACTTACATTTTCATGTACGGGATGAATAGCTTCTGCCACACGAGAATCTAAAGCTGGTTCGTGCCGGTAAGTGTGCCACTTGCTTCAGCTTTTCTCCACTTACATCAGCTAGATTCTGCTAGATATTCTCGGAGGAGAATCTTTATGCTTCGGCTGTTTGTCATTCGAACATTCACGCGAATACATTGCCTGTATTACTTTCCTCTTATCAGCTACGTGTGCACAATTATTCTTAATTCCTCGTCCGTAGAAACCACATTTTCTTTTAACGGTTTTATTCTCTCAATATTTATATTCTTTATAATATTTCACTTTTACATAGACAATTCTATAGAACAAAAATTATTGGTTCATTGAAAATTTGAAAAGACTTCGACGATTGGTTCGCCAGGATCCATGGAGTGTAAATATATGGTGTGATACTCTGAATTTCACAAGTCGGAGAAATCGGGTGTGGTATGGACATAAGGGGTATCTAGCTCCTATTGCATTTATAGCTTGGGAAAGCTGAAATAGAAAAATTTTACAATGTTGATTCGAACGTGGTGCAAATACACGATAGCTTGCTCTTTCACCTGATCTATAACTCTGGACTCGTATCCTTGGGAAATTGTGAAAGTACTGTTAAAGAAGCGGAAAACTCGTTTTCCTCAAATTGCTTTGTACACTATTCAACTCAGCGTCGTAAGTTACACAAAAGCACTAACTTTTGCCACAATGTTCCCTTTAATTCGTGCCTGATAACAGCTTATTATTAAAATTTGACAACGTGTAACACCAAGATATATACGAACCGTTTATTTAATAGTAATTACCAAGGGTTACAAAAATTCGATAAAAAAAAATAGCGGTGTTAGTCTCTGTGTTAGACGTTCCGCGTAAGATTCGAATTCGAATTGGTTCGGAACGCGCGTCAGCGACGGACGCATGCGCGTTGTTCCATTTCGTTGCGTTCGGGAGGGTTCGTGACTCGTCGGGGGGTCGCGGTTCGGAGTGGGGATGCGTCGGTCCGAGAGGGAAAGATAGCGTAGTCGCGGTCCGTTGTCGGAGCCGTGAGGTGAGACGCGAGAGAGGGTGTTTAGTCCGCGTGTCGTTGACAGCAGCGGCGACCAGCAGGCCGAGTCAGACGACGCTCGACAGTCGAAGCCGGCCTCTCGGCGTACGAGTATCGAAAGAATCGCGAGAGTTCGATGTTTCTCGCGGCGTGAACTTTAAGTCACCTGTCAACGACGCGTCGCGTATCACCGGCTCACGGGACGTTCTCATGCGGGTTTTTTTCCCCCAGTGCGCCGTGGTTAAGAACACGAAGAGGTTTTCACCCCGTTTGGTGCGGTACAACCGTGTGTATCCGTTCGCCGACACGTTTCCGTTCGCGTGTGACCAGTGTGCAGAAGTGTGTGAATGCTACGGCGAAAGCGTTGCCCGTCAAGATTACTGCGAGGACGTTCCCCCTGGCCGATTAACTGTTAGGTAAGTCGATTCTATTCGTTGCCAACACGTATTGCGACGTCCCTCGTGGCCGCTGCTACCGTCGACGTACCAACGGCATCGTCCTCGGTTTAATTTCGCGTTTTGGAGCAACCGTGTGACATCTCAAAGCTGTTGATCGAAGAAAACAATGTTCATCGTCTCGTATTTATCGTCGAGTCTTGTGTATATTTATGAAACAGCGGACACGTAACCGGACGTGAAAGACACGAGAATAGCAGACGTGTTCCGTAATATTTCGAGGGACGATGACCCGTGCTCCGAGTCAACTTTGATCGTTGAGATTTAAGTTTCCCCGAAATTGACGCACGACCTTGACGCCTTAGTTCCCTTTTCTTCCGTAGGGTCGTGTTAACGGAGCGGTTTGTTATTCTTCGGGTTTTGATCGGTCTTAACGGGGGTGGGATAATCCGCTCGCTACCGAATAACCTAGTTATACCACTCGAATGACAAGGCACGCTATTCCGTGACCCACATAAACAGGTGTACACGTAGACGTTATGCGTTATGCATCGGGGTCCTTTTAAATTTGTCGCGTAACGCGTCGTTTCGGGTGTTCGACCTCGCGAAAAATCGACGCAACGATCTACCCGGCTGTTTATCTTCGAACCCGGGTACGTGCAAGCGCGTGCTCGTGCCTGATCGTTAAGAAGATAACGTTGGGAATTCCAATAGCTTGCAGTACGAACGCGCCCGGTATCTGGTGACAAACGGTGCATTGTCCGAATGTAAGCTAAGACCAGGTGATTACACACTCTCTTGTTTCCTATATAACGAGCATTTGCGTGTTGCGAGTTACGAACCTGCCCCCAGTTCACTGGCACGAGGTTCCTTTAACATTTTAACCCTTTTCACTCGTGAGCCACCTTCAATGCAAAGAGCATTCTGTCACCCCTAACCAACGATGGATTTTGGAGCACTCTTAATATCCTCGATCAGTAATATGATAGCAGATTAGAATAGTTAAAAATAAATAGTCCAAATAGTTCGAATATGATAATTAAATAGAAATGAGAATGTCTTTAAATGTACCTATACTGGAACCTCTCGTTTTTCAATCGTCAAAAGTTAAAACGTGAAATTTTGAGAATCCATTTTTGTTTAAATCGCAAAGGTGGTGTCACTGTTTAAAGCAAGCTTCATGGGAATTTTCTGGCCGTTTTATGACGCTTTTTGCTCATCCACCGGCTCTCCCTTTTGATATAGCCTCGCTCGGCTTTGGTTCGTGTTATTCGCTGGATGATTTGAATTCATTTCGCGTGATGTCGCAGACGTGAGCAGAGAGTATACCATGCTCTGTGTACATTTCGCGTCTAGGAAATGGCACCGATGTTTATTCTCTGTTTTCTTCTCTTTCTTTTATTTTTATTGCGACACTTTATTTGCGAGTTTGGTAATTCAGAACCGTCAACTCGTATGACGGTCGCACGTGAAATATCTTATCAACAGTGCACGCACAGACCCTGTCTAATAACTTTTCGTTATCTTTCGTGGAATTTGTGTGTTTAATCGACGCAAACGCTCTCGTTCCTGCTACACGCACATTGTTTATGGCATTGTACATATTTTTGAACGAATCTCCGTTGTTTGAATTTTGAAGAACGTACGCGTAAACAATTTTTTTTTGTCGTGTGTACCATGTAGCTTTTTCCTTTTCATGAGTAAAGTATTATTAAACTTTGTTTCGTCGTGCCCCTTGCATCAGAACAGACTGATACTGCATACAAAATACTCTTCAAACATTTGTAACTGGGTATGTAAGTAACGTTTCGAGATAATGTTCGCAGAAACGTGTCTGTCTTCAAAATAAGAACGAATTTCATGCTCGAACTAATTATAACTCTACAAAGCAGAGTGCGTCTGCAGCCCTGTTCTAAGTGAGTTTGTAGACAATTAGTAAGGGAAATTGTTACTCGGTTGATATACTGTTTCAAGAAATGCACCAAGATGCACCTGCAAAATTGTAAATTTTGATCATGGTTCAAAAACAGAATATTCTTGATACAAACCGACTTTTTATTTTGTGTATAAAAACAGATTATGGCAAAGTACTAGGCTAGAAGGAAGCTAAGAACTATTTGTATTATTAATTCTACGAATGCTGCAGCAATTAGGCTCTAATAATATCTGCATGTACGCGAACGTCTACATATTATTATAATTATTACGACTTCCTAGATTTTTACCCCCCACGATTAGTCGGGCTTTGCCTGTTTGCCAGTCATAGTTCTTGTTGCAGCATGCAACGACATTGTAATTATATGGTAATTTATCTCGTGCTTTCGTTCTTGTTGCTTTTTATTAAGTGCGTTCTACGGCGTAAGTCACGCGTCGCTGTAAACACGTACTCAACTCCCGTTTTCTTTTCAACCCTTAAGTGCTGATTCTGGTCTAGGATCGATCAAAAAATCAATGATGGTGCTCTGAATACTTTAGTGCCCTCTCTTCGACAATTAGCCTCTTCGCTTGGCCAATTTTAAACGCAGATCTCGATTTAAAAAATGTATAACTCACGTGAACAATCTAATCTGAACTACGCGACGAAAGACAGCTGTTCGGTCTGCGGTAATTGAATTTAAAATATGTAAATACATCGAAGCAGCGAAACCTCGTAAATACATCGCGTTCATCGTATATCATTAGTCGTGTTATCGTTGTACGCGTTGATTACCTTAAGCGCGCTTGTCGCATTCGTAAACAAAATTTAATGCTTGACAAGATTGATTCGTCGGAACGGTCCGTAATTCATTGAAGCAACAAAAATATCGCTGATTTCTCCGCTCCATTTAAATTACGGTACATTAAATCGTGTTCTTGGTTAATGGTTTTCTTATGAGCGTAAAGATAAAAATTCATTAACGCGGCAATTTCAGTAATTACAGCTTGTACAGTGTATCAGAGGCGCGTACGCGTTAATTTGCGAGAAACGTAATTTCTCATTTTCGCCGCGAAATTGATTCGACTTAAGTTTTTAATCCTCTTAATTACGCGAAACACCGAATTCTTCTTCCGGTATTGTTAAATCCGTGTCCTTCTGTTTCACGATTACGTTTCAACGTGGAACTATTCCATTCTTCTTTGATCCATTGATTGTTTCTATAATAATTCACATTTTGAGATATTTTCTACAATATTTACGTTCCTATGAAAATATTTCTCCATCGAATTCCAGCTGAATGTAATGAAACAGAATGTATCGAACCGCTAAAGGGTTGATAAATTCACGAGCTGTCGCGTGCAATGTTGCAGTAGGTGTTTATAACGTTGAAGGTGTCGTCGAGTAGTTGAGAAATTTGCGAAACAAGGTCGTGAGATCATTTTGAAGGCCTACGTGCTCGAATCCACCTCTTCTCGCACCTTGGGTCTCACGTTCATGACCTACGAATGTGGGTGCTGGTATAAAGCGCCTATATCCTGTAATACCAGTGGAACAAGAAAGAATAGATAGGAGTTGACCGCAGTCGCTTGGAATGCTGCCGGCGTTCCTGCCGCATTAATGACGAGCAAACGTTACGTGCATTATTGCGGTACTTATTTCTTATCTGTCAGACCCGAGCTAGACAACTATAAATCCATCCCTTTCTCTCTTTCTCTTCTTTGTTATCGGTGTTGCACCGAAGCGTGCGCAATCGAACGGTTTTCCACTCCGGTACTCGAGTCTCTCTCTGTTGCTTTCGACTTAACTTTTTGGGAGGGACTAGCGCGTTTAAGCCCCGACGATGTCGTACAATTCGCTTCAGCGATGTTTTACGCGAAAGAGAAAGACGATTGTATAAATTAAAATCGAGAAGGGACACGAGTATTTTCGCGTATCATAAGAATGTTTTTCCCCCATAAATCGAAACAACAACGCAGGCATTTTGTTTTAATCGTTGGCTCGCGTTTGTTTTCGACGCTTCTTTACGCCGAGTAAAACATAGCACAGATATTTTTGCGCTCATCATTATTCGTACCCCTCGGGTCTGGTTTTTATTAACGATGAATACTTTAATCGACGCGGCTTAAATTTTTCGGTAACATATACAATTCAAATTCGGCCCCCCGGCTTTATTCAACAGCTCGATACACCAGATATAGTGATTTCGTTCGAAATTGTTCGTCGTCAGCTACTCGCCAATCGCGGAGAGCAAACATTTTGTTATGCGCCTAAAAAAAAAAAAATAAAATAAAATAAAAATATTTCTGCGTCGGATTCGGTTTTGCGATAAAAAATGACATGGTCGAATAATCTCTTTTCATCCGTACATGTATATTTGCTTCTGTCGTTATATTCAAACGGACCATCCGACCATTTAATTAATTCAAGTGGATTCGTCAGCGTGCCGGGTTAAAAGAACTGCAAGTGTCGCTGAAAGCTCTTGCATCGAGTATAGATGGCGAATGCATCCGCACAGAATCATCGAATTGATTTTTAATGATCGTGTTCATCGACGATAGAAAAATTGTACTCGATTCTTATTAGCAGTCAGTATATTTGATCAAGTCACAGAACTTCCTTGTTGTCGATGTGAAACGCGCGATGCTTTCGCATGAGATTTCAATATCGTCAGAGGTTTACGTCACTTTTACCAAGGTGAAGCACGTTTGTGAAATAGTCCCTTCGATTCAGTTTCAATCACCCAATAAATGCAATTTAATTGTCGTCGAAAGTTTTACTCCCACGACGAGAGAAGTACTTCTGTCGACCGAAAGTATGAGACCACCTGGCTTATTGTTATCTTTTATGGCAGACAGACGTTAAATATTTACTTTATGATCGCAGTTTACTACCATACCATTTGTTAGCTCAGCGTCTTTAATACTTAGTAATTTTAGAGTTGTAGGTGTCGTTTATGTTTCTTACCAGATATTAAGAAAATAGAAACTCGAGACACCAGTGGTTTTACAGATTCAGAAAACGTAACTTCATCTTTTTTTTTTCAACGATCAATTAAGAAAATTTACAAGAAGCATTTATTTATCCCATGTAAAAATTTGGAATCACTCACGGTTGTTTATATTTAGTTAGGGTCAATGACCCATCAACGTACGCAGTTGACAGACGTCATTTCCTGAAATAAAATCGTCTATACTCTTCGCAATCGATTTTTTAGATAAACTTTTTATTACGAGTCCTCGAGCAGACCTAATTTCACGATTTTTGTCAAACAGATTCTGTATTTGAAACGTAGCAATAGTAATTTCCATTCCTTCTAATTATCTTGTACAATTTTTAAATTTTAAATTACAATTTATTCTATTCAAAGTTCATTCTAATTTCAAATTTGATCTATTGAAACATAACTTTGTTTTCGCCCTATTTCAGTTGATCGCAATACTGGAAATAGTCTCTTCGAGACTCGCGTTTACATCAATCATCCGACGTTTCCTCCACTTCTATTCCTGATATCGACCCCGACACTATTAACAATCATTTCCTCGACTCACTTTCTCGCGTTTCCGTCGATTCTAACGTAACAAACACATTCTTGAATTACGATAGTCGTTCTGTATTCACTCTTCAATCGATCACTCTGGAAGATCTATACAAAGTTTTCAAATATACTAAACTCACATCTTTTCGCCCGCACACTATCCATATCTTTCTGCTTAGACCGTCTATCGCACCTTTATAATAACTCACTATCGACAGGCACATATTCCGTTCAATGGAATCTATTCTGTCGGTTATTATGCTTCTCGAGTCAACAAATTCTGCCACGATACAGACATCAATGATACATCGTTGCCTTTTTTCTTGGCCAAATTTTTCAAAAAATTATGTTCAAAGCATTCAACGCACTGAACAATTAATTCTGAATTCTAACTTCCACCTCCGTAAGGAGTCTCGTGCTTTGGAAAGGCTCAGTATTATACTTTCCACAGCTCAAGCATAAACAAGCTCGTTATAGTTGATAGTAAACGAAGCATCAAGAAAAGTTCGATTAATTAATTTCCACGACGATGTATGAACTATAGGCCGTGGCTGGGTTTGGGACGGGAAAAAAAGCGAACGCGATGGGTCGATGCTCGACGTAATCAAGGAGTCGGCGACGGATTCCATTCAACTTCAGAAATGAAGCGCAATGCATCTTTAATTAAATCTCTGGGTACGTTCGCGTTCGGTGCTCGAAATTTATTCCGTGTATTTCAATCTCTGTTATACTCGACCCCAGTTCGTTCCTCTTTCCTCCCGCCGTCGTTTTTCCGTGTCGAGTTCTCCGCGTTCTCGGTACCCCGGTTTTTGTACGTCTAGAACGTACGTCGTTTTCGTCTTTGGATTTTTTCCAGCTCGTGCCACAAATTCTAAGCGACGTCGTCCCACGGACAGTCGAGGTTTCAAAGCGGATTCCCCGGCACGAGGTGTAACAACCTCGTTTTCTACTATTTTCGTCCACGATATAGCTTAACTACGTACGTGTTCACCTGCTCGTAGCAGTTTGTTCTGATACAGGGTTGAGGGGTTCCCGCTGGTACACTCGGAATCTCTGCATGTTCGTCCTACTTTCGTTGAAAGTGATTTTCAGACTCTTTTCGTTATTAACCCTTTTACCGCTTCATGAACACCACTTACGGTTACCAAAAAAACACACATTCTTTTGCATACCTCACAAAATGTTACGGAAATCACGATCCTCGATTTACATTAAACGAATATTATATCTAAAATATCCCCATATTAACTATATTCCATTTGTGTGTAATTGGTAACATGCACTGCACTGGACACGATGACTACAAATAATGTTGACAGCGGAACGTGTTAAACACGTTTTCCTGAAACCGGTCTTTTTAAAATGCATAGGTAATTTCTCTTGGAAAGAAGCTATATACAGGGTGTACGGTCACCTCTGGGAAAAATTTGAATGGGAGATTCTGGAGGCCAAAATAAGACGAAAATCAAGAATACCAAATTGTTGATTGAGGCTTCGTTAAGAAGTTATTAACGTTTAAAATTCCATACCGATCGGAAAATTTTTCGGTGAAAAAAGAAAATTTCAAATCGTTCTGAAAAAATTATTTTCAATTGTGGGGGTCAATTACAATCATTTTTGGTGAATACATATACCCCCGAAATCCCACGCACTTTCGAGAAAAAAATTCGTGTAGGTGGACAAATTTTATTAATAATTTTTGACAATAATTTTGTTAATAACTTTTTAACAAAGCCTCAGTCAACAAATTGCTATTCTTGATTTTGGTCTTATTTTGGCCTCTAGAGTCTCTTACTAAAATTTTTCCCAGAGGTGGCCGAACACCCTGTATACATATCAGAGTCAGTTATTTTGCAATATGTGCAATTGTTCTACGATGTTTACTTTCCCTTAGAACGTCTTATACTGGCGTTCTACCACCCTCCGGTAGTCTCACGCGCGAACAATAGTAATAATAGCGGGAAAATGGAGGATCGTAGGCAACCGTTTGCACGTCCGTAGTAAAATGTGCAGTCGAAATCGGCAGAAAAGAGCATCGGTGGTGTATAAAGTGCGTCGGGCAGAGCATTTAAATTTTAAATGGTCGGTCGGCGTACCGTTGTACGCGCACGCACACGTTGTGTCATCCGCTTCGGGTCGGATAGCTGTAATTCGCTGTTGCCCCACGCCTCCTGATCGAACCGTCCTTTTTATCGTGCGATCGAATCCCAGAATGGGTAGATATTTGCCCGACCGGATATCTCGTACAGTTTCGTCGTTCTCCCTCGGATATATTGCCCATGGATTATTAGAAGTCTGGCCCGGAATGATTGGTTATACGAAGCTCCATTTACCTCGCTGCCCCTTTTTTCCTTTCTCGATATTGGTCCTGCATCGGGAAGAATACGAGGAATCTCCCCGTTCGAAGAGTAATATCGAACACGTGCAATGATTCCGGAAGAGATTTTAAATTTGATTTATCCCTCGCGGCTGTTTGTGCAAGGTTTAGACCAACCGATTTTCGCGTATTTGCGTACGTTAAAAAGTTTCCATCCCCGCGAAATCGCGACCCCCCGGGACTCGGCGGAAATTAAAGGCACCCTCTGGCAAATCGCGACGTAATAACTCTTTGTCTTTTACCCTTGTCAATGTATTATAAAAAATGATGTACGCGAGTAGGGGAGGCCGAGGTTAATAATAACACTTTGGCTTTGGAATACAACAATTCTAAAAGTATTACGCTTATATAAAATGTTACCCAATTATCTGACAGTATTCGTTCACGGTTACTATATTCGGTACGATAGATCTTAAATTGCCCCGCGTTTCTTTTGACTCCAGTCTGCTCTAGATCTTACTTTTGTTTGTTGCATCGTGGTATCTAGTTTTAATTCCTCTTCAGAACTCGAGACTTTTCCTGACGTTTCGATGCCAGACGAATTATTCGAAATTTCGTCCACTGTATTACCTGCGAGTTACGAACTAGTTATCTCCTTAACGAAGCAAATTGAAACGATAATTGATCATAAAACCGAATTAACGTTCGTTTTCCTTCCGTCGTCGCGGCCGTTTAGAAAGGTCCACGGTTATCCCCGCGACGCCATTGTATTCAAATTAGTTTAATAGGACGCATCGATCAAACGACAAATCCTAATTACGGATATCGCGGTCGGTATCTGGACGTTTCGTGCACGCGGAACAAACCGCCACTGTCCGAGGAAAAATTTCAATCTCGATTCACTGCACTCGTACACCCACGTGCATCGACGACGCCGGCCCATTAATTAACCTAAATGCAACCAGCTCTCGCAGTGGACACAACCGTCCCCTTTGTGTCCCCGACCGGTCTGTGCCGGTCGACATCGATCGACAGAATAAACGTCGCTTTCTATGACGGGCGTCGTACCGATCGATTTGTTCTTCGGTGTAAATGCGGCTTAACGGAGGTTGCTTACGGTTCTGAGCGAACTCCATCCGGTTGCATAGCGACTTGCAGGCAAACATGTGGTTAGACCGGTTGACTCAGACAGGTCGGTTTGGTTCTCCCCATTGGCCCTTTCTCCGTTCCTCTTTGCCTTCTCTTCGCGGGTTTGCTTCTCGTTCCATCCGACTCGATCTTCTCCCTCTAACTCCTGATCTATCGAGCGTATCTCGGCGGCATCCTCCCGCGGCATTATGCCGCTGCATATATTCGCATATACTATAACTGTACACAAGGTGCACACCGTGCATATATCGGGGGTTATAACCCGTATACGCGACGACAGTCGTCGAATGCTCTCGCCGCGATCGGATATTTGCCGTTTCCACAAAAAAAAAAAACGAACCTCTTGACAAGATCTGCCCGCGTCTTCCGCGGAAACTCTGGGAATTTATAGGTGTTTCCAATAACAGCGACAGAACTTTCGGATCGTCCTATCCGCCATGTTTGTTATTCGAGTCAATTTGTACTCGGTAGTACTTTATTTGCGTGCTTGCCCTGTAGTTGCATTCAAACACCTGGAGGCAGTCGTGATTGTTCAAATGGTGCACCAAGGCTAACGGAACTCAATCGGCACACGTCGATGTCACCACGAAGAAAAGAAAACTACTTGCTCACCTGTTCTCCTAGACAGCGAGCATATGCTTCGAATCTATCGCGAAAATATTTGGCTACCGTTTTGCAATTCTGACAATTAATTAGTCATACTTGAAAATAGTCGCAAATTATTTGACAGACCTCAATGTACGCCTGTCATGATTGCCTAGGGAATATATTAATTATATCTATCGTGTTATCGGCTTTTCGTCAAGAATCTTACAAACAACTAACGAAGAACATCGTATTGCATAGATGCACATCGATAAATGACTTATTTTCGGTCCCAGTCGTAATCCGTCGTCGAATTTACTCGTTGCAATTGCAGTTTGCGGATCGTAAAGGCCAAGTTTGGCCGATCGAAAGAACCAGGAAATAGAAAAGTGTCGAGAATACCGACCAACAGGGGAGAAGGTACTCGAGGGACAGACGTCGCGATGATCCCACGCGTTTTTCGTCGGTTATGGAAATGCGGGAACGGCGAATGCGCCGGATGCGAAATCGAAAAGGCGACCGCCGACAGAGTGGACGGCGTTCTGCAGCGAATCACCGGGGGAATATTTTTATGATTTCTCCTTCGATGCGCCGTTTTCAATCTACGCGTTAATAATCGAGGCTGGGTATCGCGGGGAATGGTTCTGAAAGGTTTTGGATATGTTCGATGCAGCTATCACCGAGTTATGTGCCGTTTTCGTTGTCGGACGATGAAGGTAATTCTGTTATCTGGCCGCTGCAGACGTTCGTGCCAATTTCACTTTATAGAAGTTGAAATATTACATTAAAAAAATATTTGGTACAGACATCGTTCGATTGGGACCGAAAATAGGTAATAGTTTTTATTACATCCACAATGTGCAGACAAATGGATAGCATTATTTGATTAATTTTTGTATAATTCCGATAGACCAAACAATTGACAAACTACTGAGAATAGGTGGATAGACATCTTGAAGCGCGACGAAATATGTATTTCACTTCCGCGGGATTGCGAAGTGTTGTGTGCGCAACTTGATGAAATAAAAGAACGATAAATGATGTAACCCGTACGTGTTGATGGATGTATGGAAAGCATAAATACGCTTTGAATATCGCAACGAAAGGAAGTTTGTAGTTTGCATTGCGTTATTGGTAGGCGTTGTTGCCGGCTTCCGTGTTACTGTATCCGAAATAGTCATAAACTCGCATTCCGTTTAAACATTCAGCGATATTCGAGGTGTACAAACAGCGTCGGCGGAAAACAGGATCCGTAGGAAAGGGAAAGGAATAATTATCGGCGAGAAGCCCGCTGTAAACGTCGCGTGAAGCCACGGATAATTTCACGTCGCGTTGAAATTCATCCTGTTCGCGGTATAAACGGGCGCACGTAAAGGAACGAATACAGTACTGTGGTCGCGTATAAACGCAATCTCCGGCACGAAAGAAATAAAGCCACGGGAAGAAAAGTAAAACCAGTCACGTAATCCGGTCGCGGATTGCTTACAAACCGTTTTCATATTAACATATTACGTGTTGGCGCCGACGGTTTTCGTGAAATCGTGATTCTAAACACTTACCGAAAAACTATCTCGTTTTTAATCTTAATCTTTTACTTATTTGTATTTGCGAAAAAGCAGAATAGAACGAATCGCAGTGTCGTTTCTTTTTCCATCAAAGTATTGTACCTATCGAATCGTTTTCATCCTCTTGCATCTCCAAAAGAATCTTTGATTTTGTTCGAAACGATTTTTCGAAATTTTGATCTCTTGGATGGAAGTAAGTGTACGTTATCAATAAAAATATATGACTTGTATCTATCGATTTGTTTACGATTCTCTTGCATCTCCAAAAGAATCTTTAATTCAGTCAGAAGCGAACGCTTACAGAGGAAACGCAATTTAGTATACTAGTTCTTATCGAAAGTAAGTAATTGTGATCTCTTCTATAGAAGTAGGTGTACGTTATCCATACAAATGTACGACTCGGAAAATAATCTTTGGTTCACTCTGAAGCGAACGCTCACAGAGGAAACACAATTTATCGTACGATAATTGTTCTTATCGAAAGGAAGTAATTTCCCTTCGATAGAAGTTGACGATTGAATTAACCTTCGCGTTGTTATCTGTAGCGAGGACGTAATGGAATCAGCGACGCAATCGAGACACAATAATGTCGGCTTTGACGGTAATCGCGGCGTAATCTGTACTATCTGAAACGGCGTTTGGAGAGCGCGGTTTCGCGGGATTGCCGGCGAAAATGCAGACTCGTTGAAAAAGTCGCAGATGGAAAATGTCGATCTGTCACGGAAATTGAGGCACGAGGAAATGATCGGTAGGACGACGTCGGTGGTCAGTGCATCGTTACCGTTCGACGTCGGGTTCGCTTTGGTTAATGCGAACGTTCGCTCGGATAGCAGGGAATAAATTGTCCGTATGCAGGCGTCCGCGTCGTTTCCCGCCTCGATGTACCAGTGTAGCGTGTAACAAGCGTGTTTGCAAGGGCGTATGTCATGATTACACGCGCAGACTCCGTTTGTAATTGTACAAACCGGCCATTTTAGCGGGACCGAGGCGCAACTCGATGCGCTCTCGCTATCCGCGTACACCGAATTTTGTACCGCGACGCGAAACGGACTCGAGGCGATTTATCGTTGCAAGATTTTTGGCAGCGATAATAATAATCGTGGACCGTTGCACGCGTCGCGCGTTAAGTAATATCGTCGGCTCGGTAAAACTTTGGCTGCGTTTAATATCGTAGACACACCGAGAACAAGAACAAGAACACCGAACAATTATTATATTAAACCTAGTAAATATTCGAAATAGTATTATTTTACTCAGAGATCAAGGATAGTTGGGCACAGTACAGTATTATGAATTGCAGCTTCTATTTTTGGATCGAACGTTGCGTTTTTTTTTCGAAAATTTCAACGATAATCGCGTAACCGTAACAATAAAGAAAACACGGTGTGACACGTGTATTATTCAAGTTTTTACGTGGCATGATTCGAACTTATTTCACGAGTTCGCGTTACGCTTCCCTAAGTGGGTTATCGACCGTATCGACTATAAAGATACTGTTTTCAACGTGCATTAACTTACCCACTCGACAATCTTTGTTTAAGCGTGAACGTGGAGTATCATTGTAAAAATACTCACCTGCCACTGACCGTAGTATAAAACATCGTCGATAAAACATTGTTGTTTCGTTCTCTTTCATTAGATCCCGTATACCTAACTGAAACTTACCGATATGTAGTTCGTGCAATATTTTTTTGTTATCTACGAGTCACATTTTCTTTTCTCTTAACATCGCGAATAAATATTTTTCTATGTTCGTGATGGACGTCTTTTAACACCTGCTGGAACGAAATAATATTCTGACATGAAATATGAAATATCTCGTAAAGTACTGTGTTTTCAACGATCATGTCTTAACACATTTTCATGCGGAATGACGCGAAAAATCGATTTGCATTTGTTGTACCTTCGCTTAGAAAAGAGTCGCAGCTTGTCCCAGTTTGGAGAATCGTCGTATATTTAATGTATTTATTTTCTTTCTGGAAAAATTGCGGAGCTCGAAATCCGCTCATTAGACGCTTAAAAGAACGCTTCGTTGGAATATGGGATATTAAAATACACACGAATTACAGTTGTTTGTTCGTCTGTTATAATTTATATTCGCGGATAACCAAGAGGTAAACCACTTCAGCGTTATTAATGCTGTTAATATCTGTTCGTATATGCGAATCCGTAATTCCGGCTATTACAGCGTGGTCGAATAACTCGTTAAAAAGATTTTATCGAGATTACGTGGCTAGTTAGCAACTTTCGTGCCTGTGGATGTACTTGCACCGGTTCGATATAGATAAATTTGAGAGAATTTAATCGCACATATCCTTTGAACAATCCACGGCAATCACGTTCAGTTTAAAAGTAATTACCTTTATCTTCGCGATTCGTAAATCCTTTTACCAGCATGCGATCCATCGTTTGTTACTACGAACACTAACGTACTAATTGTTTTACACTTTGTCTTCTTTGGAATGTACATAAGGTTCTTCTTATTCAACAGTAAAATCAAACACAATGATTCTACATGCAGAAATATATTGGAAACGAGTAGCAAAGTTTTATCTCGGAGAAAAGATGCTGTTGTTGAAAACGGAGAAGGGATTTTGGTGGCCAGTTTGTAATGGAATACACTTGGTACACGAATTATAGAGTCTGCTCCCGAATCAATTGAACATATCACAAAAGGAAACGGCAAAAGCTGGAGATGCAGTCACTCGAAATCCCCAAGGCGGTTCTAATAGGTCTCTCGGTAAAGGTTTCTCAACCTTGTTTGGATCTCCAACGTTTCCACCGCAACGGTTAAATCCTCGTGAACCAGGGTGCTGCATCCTGTTCGATTCAACCAAAAACTAATACAGATGGGCACAGGATAACGTATACAATGGTGATGGAAAATTGATGAGAATTAAGTGTTAATCGCAAAATTCCAAAAGTCTACATTTCCTATAAATATTTCATTACAATTATGAAATTTTCTGCGGTGGAAATGTTATTGCTGGACAAGCATCCAAACATTGATTGTCTCGGAGCACATATTGTTGCAATC